TTGTGTGTGTGTGTGTGTGTGTGTGTGTGTGTGTGTAGTGTGTGTGTGAAAAAAAATACGTCCTTTCTTCAAGCACCTCTTTCACAATGGTCTCATGTCGTTTTAAGTGATCAAAGTATTGCATATTTTTCTACTTTTTCAGGTTGAATATAATCTGAAAGATGAGTAAGAATACGCAAAAGACTACCTTGCAGCACTGTCGGGTCTCATCCAGGGCTTGTCACGGGGGCTTCTCCTGTTCCCGCCGACACAGAGACCATCTGAACAACAGCCGAACCACTGGCACACACATAACGCAAGCGACCCTAGCACCCAGCCCAGGACAATGCCGGTGATCCCCGCGAGGACGTCCCGGGTGTTGGCGCCATTGTCTGGAGTCGGGGTAGGCAGAGGGAACTTGACTGGAAGATTGTCCACTGCACAGATACAGTAGGATTCTTCCTGGTGGTCGCACCCCTGAAATGACAACAAATTGATTTGTCAAAAAGCCCAAGAACTGTTTGTTGTTGCGAGAATTAAGAAAAAAAAACCCAGTGCATCCCGTCTGTGAGATCACGGTCACATTCTCGCTGAAAAAAAAATTAAATAGAACAATAACCTCGAAAGTACGTTACAAAGCAAATCACACCCAGGGCGTCACAAATCTGCCACATGATATTCTGTTGGGAACTGTTATAGATGTTAACAATCGGCCAGTAAAATAAGAGAAATTTACAATATTTTTTTCTTCTTCTGCAAATTAGTACAGCATACAAAATGGAAATCTAGGTATGAGTTTACGGTCCGTTTCAACATTGCAAGGTTTTATCAGTTGATTCATCTCTGATTTTTTTTCTCCAGGTCCCACCGGGCCCAGGAAAGAGTGGTAGTGCTTGAAAACCTCTCAAGCTAATGAAATTCAAAAGCAATCTGTTTGGGATTCGAACCACGATCATTGACATTATTTCTCAACACAATACCGTTTTCATAAATAAAATGTTTAGTCTGTGCACGGTGATGACCCATAGAAACTGGCTAAGAAAGACAGGAAGGGGGGGGGTGAGGAGCTACTAATAGTTCTGCAAACAGATCCTTGGACAATAAAAAAGGAAATAAAAAGGAATAGTTCAGGAGAGCTAAAGTTAAGATAATAATACGTATTTTCAATGTACATATAAATAGAATGTCCTTTGTCCAGCAAATCTTACGTCAATTATAGAATTCATACCAGGAACGTTAAAAGAACAAAGATAGAGGAAAGTACTATGAGAGCATTATCCAAAAGCATCGAAGAATTGACAGGTATAAACAGCTCAGAGATCAGAGATTTATTTATAGTATCGTCCCAACAAGGTAGGGCCGGAGAAACGAGGATCGTAACTGAGGACAGGAAGTCAGCTTTCAAAGAGGTTGTCATGGATGAATAAGAGGACGTACTCGAAGACAGTGAGACAACTGTGTGACAATATGATGGAGGGAGGGGAGGGGGGGGGGGGCTTGAAAAAGAAGGGACAGGACTGAGAGAGACGAAGACAGAGACAGACAAAGCACTCAGAGGGAGTTAGAGATAGAGGAAGGGATGCGGGAGAGAGGCAGAGGGCATGAGACAGACAGACAGACAGACAGACAGACAGACAGACAGACAGACAGACAGACAGAGGGAGAGAGAGGGGGGGAGAGACACAGAGAGAGAGAGACACACACACACACACACAGAGAGAGAGAGAGAGAGAGAGAGAGAGATGAAGAGAGAGCGAGAGATAAACAGAGAAGGATGACCTGAAACGAATACCTGTGGAGTGCTCTCGCACTTGAGTCCAAAGAAGGCGTCTGAGCTACATGTGCAGGTGTACCCAGCAGGTTCTGCTTTGCACGCAGCTTTCGGGTCCATGAGATTACAGGGGGATGTCCCGCATAGGCCAATGTCTATAAAGATAATGCAGCAATGGGGCAATCGGTAAATACTTAGCATTAGTTTAAGTAAAGAGAAGTACAATTACGTGATCAAAGTGAAATGGCATAAGAAAAAGTAATACACGGTGGAATCAGACGCTCGTCAATTTTGGGCAAATAGAGTTTTTAGTACCATCTTAAAGCTTGTTCATTTGTCTTGCATTTGGCGAAAAAATACCCATCTATTTTTAAGAGAAGTGGAGATATTTGCCATTGAAAGAAATAGGAGTCGCTTGGTGTCAGAGGTAAAATGGGCGCCAAAGTTTGATAACTTTCATAGCTTGACAGTCCTTGAGAAATGTAAATCATAAATTTACATTTATGTGTGCCTTTAATCGACACTTTTCTGTAAAACCCACAGAGAAGTGTGCTTTAAATAGACATATAAGTTGTTGAGCCAGAAAACAAAAATTCGATTTAAAAAATCCCAAACCGACGGTAAATTGCCATTTTCTTAGATTTCATCATTTTGCGAGCCCTGATTTCCCCACAATGCGTCACGTATGGTTGACAGAAACAATGAAGGGGAAGAAAAAAGTAGCCATGTCAGTTAGTTTTACGCCGCACGCGACTGTATAAAGTCATATGAGCGCTATAAGAAGTGGCCTTCGACCAAATTATGCTCGAAGAAAATAATCGGGACAGAAATGAAGAAGGTTTGCGACCTACCAGTGGTGATCTTTACTGCCCGCTATTGGTGAGGTGTGGAATGAGCACAAAACATTAAAAAATCGATTACGTTTACGTATAGTTTGCGTGTGTGCGTGTGTGTATCATGTATTATTGCGTGTGTATGTGTGCGCGCACATGCGTTTGGAGACAAAGTGTATACATGTGTATGGTAGTGTGTGTGTATGTGTGTGTGTGTGTGTGT